AGGCACACCGCCGCCTTGCTGCCTTTTGACGATCGCGGAGACTTGAGGGATTGAGAACCCTTCGAATCTTTCGAATCCTGAGAAGAAGGCCTGCTACTCTTCTTCTTCTTTTTCTTGTCTCTCGGCGACGTCTTGGGGGTGTCTCCACTAGTGTTCTTGTCGGCTTTTGGGGCTGGAGCTGCCTTGGAAGTTGCGGGGCGCTGCAATGGCCAGTCTTTCCCTCTTTCGCATCTGTTCGCTTTGAAGAACTTGCACACCAGGGGCTTCGAACCAGGGGGACTCTGCGAACGATACTTCCTTGGGGTCTGAGACCTTGATCCGCCCTTCTTGCCTTTCCCCTTACCTTTCGGTGCCTTCACATGTTCGAATCGGCAGTCGGAACCATAGGTGCATTGGCCAGTTTGAAATTTCACACATACACCCTTAGGGATTCCAGGAACAGCAGGGTTGTTCGATGGAGTCCGGCCACGTCCCGTCGTGTTGCTCGACATAGCGTCCCGCATGTGAACAAGCCGCTTCCGCTCCAAATAATTCCTCGATGCATCAATCAAGAATTTATAGGAGTGCTTTTCCGCCCCTTCCTCAGCCCGCTCGTATTCATTGAGATCGTGACTGAGAGGACGAAATTTCCGAATCTGGCGGTGGAACAGCGCCTCGAAGGTCTTCTCGTTCTGCTCGTTGCCCATACCAGCGATGACCGTGTCCCATCTCGTCATGAAGTTCTTGAGGTCCAAATCCTCGAAGTCGTGAATTGCACCATGTTTGATGTTCGTGCTGAAGTGCTTGTGAATCATCAAAAGAATCTGGCGTCCCCTCGCGTATCGTTTCTCCTTTGCTTCTTGTTCTTTGAAAATGTCGACTTGCCGCGCGAGGTCGCCCTCCAAGATGTTCGTCAGCGCCGATGCCAGCTTTGCGTCAAGATGAACAAACATGTCTGAATCACGAAGGACTTCAACAGTTTGACCTGGGATCCAAGTTGCCTCAATCCACTCAAATGCCTTCTCGGGTTGATCAGAAGTAGCAACAACAGCATCCCTAACTTTGATCCTCCAATTACGGTACTGTTCGGGCTTCGGGAATCGGGGAATCTGAATTCTGTCACCCTCCTTTACACGAACGCGTTCCGTTGTCGGATCGCTCGAATTCCCTAAGTGCTTCAGTAGCTTTCGTCGAAACGATTCATCCGATGCCGTTGAAGTAGACGATGAAGATGACGAGGGGGAAGATGACGGATCTCGTCGCCTGCGTCGGCTACGATCCTTCTTCTTCTTCTTCTTCCTCTTCTTCTTTTTCTTGTCCTTGTCATCTCCACCATCACCATCATCACCAGGCCAACCGTCTCCGGTAGCAGCATCGTCCACGGCCCCGGCGGGAACGGATCCGTCTTTGCCGTAGGGGTCGCTCCCGACCTTCGTCCAACTGTGTGAGGAAGCATTCGAAAGTCCGGGTGGAGATGCGGCCAAAGGAATTGTTGGGATGGCCAAGGGGGTAGCTGGTGCGTGCTGAATAGGAGGTGCAGGAGCCGGAGCAGGTTGAGCGGGCGGTTGCTGCTGATTCTCCATCATCTGCTCGACCATAGCCCTCAGCTCCCTGACCTGCTTCTCCTGCTCGCTGATCGTGTTCATGGCGTTTTGATGCTTCATCTCGGCTTCTCTTTCTGATTTCATGGTGTTCACACGCTGCTCCGCATTCTTCTGAATCTCGCGTCTCATGGCGCCCGATTGGCTTTGAAGTCCGGCAATGATCTCACCATGCCTTGCCTCCGCCAACTGTGCGACCATGGGACCGGTGTCCTCATTCACGAACTGGTTGAACTGGGCGTTGTTCTGAGTAGCGTTGACTTGCTGATAGTTCGTCACCTCCTGGTTGATCGTCATCGAAGGATCGAGGTGAACGTTCGCAACATGTTGATTGAACTGAGTCATGGACTGTGGCATAGGGTTTCCCCTTGCGAGATCGGCCTGGGGGTCATACATGACGATATCACCATGCCGACGCCGATCTGATCTAACAGGTGAAGGAGATCGAGCACCAGACCGCCCAGTCCTCCCACGGTCGCTCCGAGATCGAAGCGATTCGGGGCCCTGACTGCTCAAAGCTTGTCCCTTCCTGATGAGCTCCCTGGCCACTTGGGAATTCGCGCGACTAGTCGGTTCGTATAGCGAGGCGTCTTCATCGCCTGCGTGCTCATCAGGCGTGGGACGCACCTCAATAGGGGTAGTCCAGGATCGCCATCCATGGCGTACATACAACTCTGTACAAAGAGCCGCTTACGGCTGATAACCTATAGAACAGGTTAAACAACCAGGAAGAGTCAGCTATGTACTCAATCCACGGCGCGCCTTTTTCTTGAGCCAGGCGCAGTCGGTGCAACAAGACTGCGCTAGTGAGACACTCATGCATTAGGGTTTACCATGGTTGATAAATACATCACGTTGCAAACTACAGTTTGTTTGTTTGACTTGCGCATCGAGATATCTGTCTCCTTGCTCTCCAGCAACCTCTCGATGTCTCCACTTGAAATGGCATCTGGAGCATCCACCAGCATTGCCACCACCGAGTACATCCACAGCACATACCGATTGCTATCTGCACACAGCATTCCAGGAGGCAGCTCTCATCTCTCATTTGCTCAAGCCTGAGAGGTGCAGTGACACCTCCTGTAGTTTGCAATGCCTCATGAGCTCGACTGCGATCGCATATGATCCAACATCGATTGTCGCTGAGCACTGGAAAGGAGAGCGATCTACGAGCTCAAGCTTGCGCAAAGATTGCTGACAAAAGGATAACGGTGATTGCAGAGGCATTTGTCGACAGTAAAGCGAGAGTAGTCGACAGCGAGCATGTGCTAGCGCTTGGCTCAGGAGGTGTGGCTACTTGTAACCTCTACAATGATTTGGTGATGGCATCTACATCTCAACTGCCGCTGGTGTGCACCACAGTGAGGCCTGTGGCAGCTAAGCTGAAGTCTGGGCTTCCAAGGCGCTTAGCTGTCACAACCTGCGGTAGGCCTAATCGCCGATGGCCATCGAAGGAGATTGGCGCCGGCTTTCAGGAGGTTGATTTGCATCAATGCAGCTGCAGCGCAGCGAGATCCAGCGCTGAGGTGCAAAGCATTGAGCTTAATCTTTGGCATGCAGGACACTCCAAAGGATCATCAATGTCAGGCGCTGGTGCAGCCTATCGAAGACTCTCGAGATACTAGGACATTCAGATTCACATCGCTGCTGACTAAGCTCAGCATCACTGGTGGCGACACTGTAGCAATGTACTGCAACCATGCAGAGACTCTCCGCTATGTGTGAGGCGAGACATGATCAATGGCACAGAGGAGCTCCTAGATGCGAGGCATGGCAGCTTGTGATCAATGTAATTTTGTTTGTTTGTTTGATTGTTTTTGTTTGTTTGTGTCTGTTTGTGTTTGTTTGTTTTGTTTGCGTTTGCTTGTCTTTGATTGACTTTGTTTGTGTTTGTTTGTGTCTGTCTGTGTTTGTTTGTGTTTGTTTTTGTTTGTTTTGATTGTTTTGATTGTTTTTGTTTGTGTTTGTTTGTGTTTGCTTGTGTTTGTTTGTGTTTGCTTGTTTTGTCTGTTTTTGTCTGTGTTTGTTTGATTTGTTTGTTTTTGGTTGTTTTTGCTTGTTTCTGGTTGTTTTTGTGGGTTTTTGATTGATTTTTGTTTGTTCGTGTTTTTGTTTGTTTGATTGTTTGTTTGCTTTTTTTTTGTTGGTTTTTGTTTGTGTTTGTTTGTTTTTGTTGGTTGTTGTTTCCGAGGGGTTTTGGTTGTTGCGTTTTTTGTTGTCTTTTTGTTGTTGTTTGTATGTTTGTTTGTTTTTGTTTGTGTTTGCTTGCTTTTGTTTGTTGTTGTTTGTTTTTCTTTGTTTTTGTTGGAGGGTGGGGGTTGCTCGAAGCGAAGTAGTTGTTTGTTTTTCATTGTTTTTGTTTGTTTTTGTTTGTTTTTAGTTGTTGTTGGTGTTTGTTGGTTGTAGTTGGCTTTTGTTGGTTTTTGTTTGTGTTTTTGGTTGTGTTCTTGCTTGTGTGTGTGTTTGTGTGTGTGTGTGTTTGTGTGTGTGTGTGTTTGTGTGTGTGTGTGTTTGTGTGTGTGTTTGTGTGTTTGTGTGTGGTTGTGTGTGGTTGTGTGGTTGTGTGGTTGTGCGGTTGTGTGGTTGCGTGTTTGTGTGCTTGTGTGCTTGTGTGTTTGTGTGGTTATGTGGTTGTGTGCTTGTGTGGTTGTGTGGTTGCGTGTTTTTGTGTTTGTGTGTTTGTGTGTGTGTGTGTTTGTGTGTGTGCGTTTGTGTGTTTGTGTTTGTGTGTTTGTGTGTTTGTGTGTCTGTGCGAGTTGCATGTTCATGGTCGTTGTTTGGGTGTGTTGGTTCATGTTGTGCGCTTAGAAAAACATGAGTTGTGATTGATTTCTGTGTTGGGCCATGGGGAGATCATGGAGTCGTTTTGCCTGAACTAGCTGAAGCGTGACCATGTTCCGAGCATATACCAACACACACACATTTGCAGAGGTATAGTGACATTGCGACATAATGTCTAAACCAGGGTTGTCATGTTCGAGCACCAAGAACCAGCAAGTTGCGAGCACATACCAAAGCATACACATGCTGTTGCATTTATGTGCAAATAGGCATGCCAGCCAGAATTTCGAGATGAATTCACACATATTCACACCCATAGCGCCCCTTGTGTTTCGCGGGGTTTCTTCAACCTCGAAGAAACCAGCAACAGGACCACCCACAAAATATGCCAAACGGGAGCCAGTTCCAACGCTTGGCACGCGCAGGCGGCTCATGGTCTGGCCCAAACTTCGCGGCAAACCCTGCAGAGCTGGCGTATATACAGCACACTGGACACTGCATTCGTGCATCGACTACCCCGAGGTGGACTTAAACCCAGAAGCGTTGATTTGGAGGGCGCTAAGCATCGCTCTTCCAAAGGGGCAAAACAAAACAGATCGAACCCTGGACCTGCCCTGCGAGCCATCACCGCCAGGCAGCTGGTCGCATTTCACCCCATCCAACATCACAGGGCCGATGGTGCTGTCGAAAATCGTCGCATTGTCACCTTCAACTTCTCTCATGCTTGCTGTCCGCACAAGTGTGCATCAAACTGGTTGCACCAACTGCCAGCAGCTGCCTGTGGCATTGGCGCTGGATGTGGTGCTGGTCATTGTGCTGGTCATAGTGGTTGATGCAGTGGAGGCCTCCGATGCTACACACATGAGTGTCCTTCGGTGCAAGGTGGCACTTGGTTCCAAATTTTGTTTCGGGCCCTGACAACTGAGTGTTGACGAGCCAGCATGTTCCTGAGGGTCTGGCAGAAGTGGAGAAGCGCATCGTGCTGGTGAAGGTCTCCAGGATTCCACCGCCGGGCCCGGGTGACACAATGACTCTTGCATTGGAAACCTGAGTTGTTGCAGGACCAACTAGCTTAATTACTGGAGTGACCCCCCTGACCTCAAAAAGCGAAGACAACGTCTCCAGCCCGGCAGTTGGCCAAGGCTCTCTGGCTTCTTCCACCCTCACGCTCTGAAGCTGGGCGCTATCCTGAAGCTCTCTGGTCAGCAACCGTCAGGTCACTGGGTGATGCTTCAAAAGGGCAAAGAAAAAAGACGCGCAAGGTGCACGAAGGACGCGCGCAAACTGGCATCCCAAATGTTGAACAATGTCATTTGCTCACTAGGGGGTGGGGCCGCGGTAGCCAGCCGCAGAACTTGCCGCAACACCGAGATCTACCCAAAGGGCTCTTGTCGAGGAGTGGTGCCCCAAAGCCCCCTCCCAAACAAACAGCTCAACACCGACCAGGCCTTGAGTGCATCAAGCCATTGCTGCGGGTCCGACAGCTGCTGGGAGATCGCTTCAGTCGCGCCTGACTTGGCTGCATCGCAGCGAGGCACGAAGGCACAAATAGGAGGCCCTGGAGCATCGCATGAGTGGCGGTTGGCTTTGGCAAAATGGAGGTGCTCCTTTGGCAGCAGCATCTGCTAACTGTGAGTGTGCGAAAGAAGGGAGGCTGAGCTGGTTCCTACAGTATACAGTATACACTTGATCTGTCCTCGAGTGCTCACCTAATAAATCCTACACGGCTCATTGCAAAGCCCAGCGTTAATCCTGCAATTTGGCCACTGGGGGGACGCACGGCGCTGGTGCCTTCGCCGAGATTTGCAAGCAAGTCCTCTGCTGCAGAGGTGTCTCCTGCCCAGGCCATGGAGGGTTCAAACAACTTGCAAGCAAGCAAGCAAGCACACAAACACGTGGACACGCAAAGCAAACAACACAAACACAAAGACACGAAGACACAAGCGCACCCACACACAAAAACACACGCACGCAAGCAGGCAGGCAGGCAGGCAGGCAGGCAGGCAGCCAGGCAGGCAGGCAGAACTGACAGGACAACACAAGACAAGAGCCTGGCGATGCGGTTGGCACGGCCACGCGAAAGTCAGCAGAAAGCGCCATCCTGGCAGTGGAAAACAGCTTCAGAATCTCAGAATCTGCCGGTCCCCCTCTCAAATCCGGCATCCCTAACGCGGCCTCTGTGTGCCCAGACGGCGGAATGTCAGGCGCCGGACAGGCAGGAAGGCCTGACAACTCACGTCCCATCACACCAACGAATACGCCTCAAAACCAAACAGAAAAACAAGAGCGCAGCATAGCGCAGCCCAATTCAAGCAAGACTCAATGCGTAGAACCTCCACCTCAGCTGGCTGAGCACTTTTGCTGGTTTTCGTGCATGCCTGGATGCATCAAGAACCCCGGGCAGGTTAAGCATCTGCCCCGTGGTTCAAACAGTGCATGCAAGGGATGATCAAGCTTCCTAGCTGAGTGCCAGTATGTGCTGCAGGTGGCATGTCACAATAATCCGGGCGGCCTGTTCTTGTCGTACACCTGGCAAAAACCATGGGAGAGAACCCAATGTGCGCGACCATTCTTCGCCTGCCTCCGCATATGGGACGTGGCATCGTGGTATCGTCTAAATGGGACCCAGGCTGTTTTTCCTTGGTTGCTACCTCAAAGCGGGTACCCTGAAAAACTACATGGCGCCCGGACGAAGAGCCCGCCTGCACTGCGGCTGATGGCCCCCTGCACAAGGCCGCGCAGGGCCTCCGCTGGCATCAAGCTGAAACACTGCCCCACCCTTTGCCCCATCGAAACTGCAATCTTTGCATTCTGGTCTGGTGCCAAGAAAGGTCCAGGCAAACTCCGTCCGAAACGAAGGACGATGAATCCAGCTGAACGTGTCTCAAAGTAGGAAAGCTGCCAAAAGGTGGTGTTTCTCTCTGAACTCCCTTTCGAAGCAAAACACAAAGGCATCCTCAAAAAAGACCCACCCTCACCCAACCACCTACCCTGACACTAGCTCTTGCTTTGCCTGCGTCAATCGCCACCGTGCCTGATCAGAGGCCAGCTCCGTCGCTGAGGTGCCGTTCAAGTCAAGAGCCACACGCATGCTCAGGCTCCCTGGTGAAGGCAAGTGATTCCGGCAGGCCACAGGCTTGTCCCATGGCGAACCCCAAACGTGTGTGGTTATTGCATTGAACCAAATGCCAGCACTTCAAGCTGCTGCCACAACTTTGTTGCAAAAGTCGCAAGCGTCTAAATGCTGAGCAGGTGCCATACACGTAGACGCTGCCATTCCACGGCTCGGACTCATTTCCTAGGAGTTGAAAACCGAGAAACAACTTTTGTCAATGGCCAAACTTCCCGTCCACGGGCAACAAGTCGCACCGCCTAGTCTGAAAGCCTCGCCCCTTTGTTGCTATCTTGTCATGGGCCTTACGCATCCTTCAGCGGCGTCCACTGGAACAAACAACAAAACACCTGAGCAGCGCTGACTCTCGAACTCCCCAAAGATCCCTTCCGGCTATGCGAGTGTCGCAAAAACCAAATCGCTGAAATGCATCCGCAAGGCCAAAGATGGTGGTGGTGGCCATGGTCGTGTTGCCATCTGTGAAGGTGTTGGTAGTGGTGAAGGCGATGGATGAGGTGGTTGTCCGGGTGAAGGTGGCGTTGCTCAAAGTTGCTGTGAGTGTGGTAAAGTGAGTTTGAGTGGTCATAGTAGTAGTAATGTTGCTACCAGTGGTGTAGCCTGTCGTATAGGTGGTGCTCGTTGTAGAACCCGTCGTCGTGCTCGTATTGTAAATAGTCTCAGCCTCGAAAGTGGATGAAAAACGGGTAGAAGTCGTCCAGCTGGTTGTACTGTTGCTTGCCATGGTGGTCGTCAGGGATGAGGATGACGTGGTGAATGTAGTGCTAGTCGTGGATGAGGTGGTGGTGTAAACTGTCAGGTTGTCAGTGCTGTCAGGCGCGGACGCGTTGGTGGATGTGGTGGTCGAGCTGGTGGTACTGTTGCTTGCTGTGGTAGTGCTCAGGGATGAGGATGACGTGGTGAATGTAGTACTAGTCGTGGATGAGGTAGTGGTGTAAACTGTCAGGTTGTCAGTGCTGTCAGGCGCGGACGCGTTGGTGGATGTGGTGGTCGAGCTGGTGGTACTGTTGCTTGCTGTGGTAGTGCTCAGGAATGAGGATGACGTGGTGAATGTAGTACTGGTCGTGGATGAGGTGGTGTAAACTGTCAGGTTGTCAGTGCTGTCAGGCGCGGACACGTTGGTGGATGCGGTGGTCCAGCTGGTGGTACTGTTGCTTGCCGTGGTAGTGATCAGGGATAAGGATGACGTGGTGAATGTAGTCGTGGATGAGGTGGTGGTGTAAACTGTCAGGTTGGCCGTGCTGTCAGGCGCGGAGGCGTTTGTGGACGTGGTGGTCCAGCTGGTTGAAGTGTTGCTTGCTGTAGAGGTCAGGGATGTAGATGATGTGAAGGTGGTGCTGGTCGTGGTTGTTGTTGTGGTGAAAATTGTCAAGTTGCCTGTGTTGTCAGCTGTGGACGTCGTGCCGCTTGAAGTTGTGGTTGTGTTGGTGGACATGGTGGTCCAGCTGGTGGAGTTGCTTGCCGTAGTGGTCAGGGATGTGAATGCTATGAAACTGGTGCTAGTTGTGGATAAGGTAGTAGTGTAAATCGTCAGGTTGCCCATGCTGTCAGGTACGGACGCATTGGTGGACGTGGTGGTCCAGCTGGTGGAAGTGTTGCTTGCTGTAGTGGTCAGGGACGTGAATGATGTGAATAATGTGAAGGTCGTGCTGGTCGTGGATGATGTCAGGTTGCCCGTGCTGTCAGGCGCGGAGGCGTTTGTGGACGTGGTGGTCCAGCTGGTTGAAGTGTTGCTTGCTGTAGAGGTCAGGGATGTGGATGATGTGAAGGTGGTGCTGGTCGTGGTTGTTGTTGTGGTGAAAATTGTCAAGTTGCCTGTGTTGTCAGGTGCGGACGTCGTGTCGCTTGAAGTTGTGGTTGTGTTGGTGGACGTGGTGGTCCAGCTGGTGGAGTTGCTTGCCGTAGTGGTCAGGGACGTGAATGCTATGTAGCTGGTGCTAGTTGTGGATAAGGTAGTAGTGTAAACTGTCAGGTTGCCCGTGCTGTCAGGCGCGGACACGTTGGTGGACGTGGTGGTCCAGCTGGTGGTAGTGTTGCTTGCTGTAGAGGTCAGGGATGTGGATGATGTGAAGGTGGTGCTGGTGGTGGTTGTTGTTGTGGTGAAAATTGTCAAGTTGCCTGTGTTGTCAGGTGCGGACGTCGTGTCGCTTGAAGTTGTGGTTGTGTTGGTGGACATGGTGGTCCAGCTGGTGGAGTTGCTTGCCGTAGTGGTCAGGGATGTGAATGCTATGAAACTGGTGCTAGTTGTGGATAAGGTAGTAGTGTAAATCGTCAGGTTGCCCATGCTGTCAGGTACGGACGCATTGGTGGACGTGGTGGTCCAGCTGGTGGAAGTGTTGCTTGCTGTAGTGGTCAGGGACGTGAATGATGTGAATAATGCGAAGGTCGTGCTGGTCGTGGATGATGTCAGGTTGCCCGTGCTGTCAGGCGCGGAGGCGTTTGTGGACGTGGTGGTCCAGCTGGTTAAAGTACTGCTTGCTGTAGAGGTCAGGGATGTGGATGATGTGAAGGTGGTGCTGGTCGTGACTGATGTTGTAGTGAAAATTGTCAGGTTGCCAGTCCTGTCAGGTCGGGACGTTGTGTCGCTTGCAGTTGTGGTTGTGTTGGTGGCTGTGGTGGTCCAGCTGGTTGAGTTGCTTGCCGTAGTCGTCAGGGATGTGAATGCAGTGAAAATGGTGCTAGTTGTGGATGTGGTGGTCCTGCTGCTTGTAGTGTTTGTCTCCGTGGTGGTTGTCGGCGATGTGGTGAAGGCACTGCTGGTTGTGGACTGGGTTGTCGTGTGGGTTGTCGTATTGGTTGTGCTGCTGCTATCCGTCCAAGTTGTAGTGTCAGTTGTGCTTCTTGACGTGTTTGTCCAGGTGGTCGTCCAGCTGCTCGATGATGTCCGGCTTGTTGTAGTGTTTGTCTCCGTGGTGGTTGTCGGCGATGTGGTGAAGGCACTGCTGGTTGTGGACCGGGTGGTCGTGTGGGTTGTTGTATTGCTTGTGCTGCTGCTATCCGTCCAAGTTGTAGTGTCAGTTGTGGTTCTTGACGTGTTTGTCCAGGTGGTCGTCCAGCTGCTCGACGTGGTCCAGCTTGTTGTAGTGTTTGTCTCCGTGGTGGTTGTCGGCGATGTGGTGAAGGCACTGCTGGTTGTGGACTGGGTTGTCGTGTGGGTTGTCGTATTGGTTGTGCTGCTGCTATCCGTCCAAGTTGTAGTGTCAGTTGTGCTTCTTGACGTGTTTGTCCAGGTGGTCGTCCAGCTGCTCGACGTGGTCCAGCTTGTTGTAGTGTTTGTCTCCGTGGTGGTTGTCGGCGATGTGGTGAGGGCACTGCTGGTTGTGGACTGGGTGGTCGTGTGAGTTGTTGTATTGCTTGTGCTGCTGCTATCCGTCCAAGTTGTAGTGTCAGTTGTGGTTCTTGACGTGTTTGTCCAGGTGGTCGTCCAGCTGCTCGACGTGGTCCAGCTTGTTGTAGTGTTTGTCTCCGTGGTGGTTGTCGGCGATGTGGTGAGGGCACTGCTGGTTGTGGACTGGGTGGTCGTGTGAGTTGTTGTATTGCTTGTGCTGCTGCTATCCGTCCAAGTTGTAGTGTCAGTTGTGGTTCTTGACGTGTTTGTCCAGGTGGTCGTCCAGCTGCTCGACGTGGTCCAGCTTGCTGTAGTGTTTGTCTCCGTGGTGGTTGTCGGCGATGTGCTGAAGGCACTGCTGGTTGTGGACTGGGTGGTCGTGTGAGTTGTTGTATTGCTTGTGCTGCTGCTATCCGTCCAAGTTGTAGTGTCAGTTGTGGTTCTTGACGTGTTTGTCCAGGTGGTCCAGCTGCTCGACGTGGTCCAGCTTGTTGTAGTGTTTGTCTCCGTGGTGGTTGTCGGCGATGTGGTGAAGGCACTGCTGGTTGTGGACTGGGTGGTCGTGTGGGTTGTCGTATTGGTTGTGCTGCTGCTATGTGTGCCAGTTGTACTGTCAGTGGTGGTGCTTGACGTATGTGTTGAGGTGGTTGTCCAGCTGCTTGTTATGGTCCACCTTTTTGTGATGGTTGTTGACGTGGCGGATGTGGTGAAGGTACTGCTGATCGTGGATGAGGTTGGTGTTCTGTCACTTGTGGTAGTTGTTGTTGCAGTGCTAGATTCTGAAAAGACCTCGGAGAAAAACACAACAACACACAACCGAGCGTGACTATCATGAGAGATGAAATCATCCTCAGGGCTGCACGCTTGTTGTAAATGTCTTCTCACTGTCCCCTTGTGCCACAACCACCTGCGCATCAGATACCTTGGCGTGTCAGCACGCACAAAGTTTGCACTTCAAAGCACCTCTCTTGCAACATCTTGCAACAGTAATTACGCTGCACCAATCAGCCATCCAGAACTCAAAAAGAAAACAACTTGAAACATCTTGCCAGGTCATTCCCAAAATCGCGCTTTGGCAGGCACTGCTCCCTTTGGCAGTCAAGGCTCGCTGGCTGCGTCCACGTTCACGCTGTCCAGGTCAGCGTCCTGCGCGGCATGATCATGCCACCATGGATGGCAGCTCAGCAAATGTGCCCAAATGGACTCGGGCAGTTTCAAGCTTCCAAGCCAGGCCTTGAATGCATCACGCCACTGTTGCGAGTCTGACAGCTGCCGCGAGATTGCTTCGCTACCGCCTGCAGGCGACGTGCCCCCGGGTTCCAAAGCGCAAACACAGCGGATATCTGAAATCGAGAAACACCATGCAAGGCGTTATGCCCTATTGTGTCTGCATGGCGCTTTGCTTGCACCTCTGCTTGCACTGGAAGAGTTCAGAGGCCCTTCCACCGCTGCACTGCCATTCCAGGCTGAGCTCTTGTTTCCCCCCCCTCCTTCGCAGGTAGCAACCGTAGTGGTGCAAAGAGCCCATAGAACACTCATAGAAAAACAGACCAAATGCCGAGCCTTGTTCGAGACTGGCAAGCAAGCTCTCTGCCGCAGAGGTGTCTCCTTGCCGCTACAAGGAAAATGGACAACCCAGAAGAAGCTGACCCAAAGACTTTCGCACGGCTCTGCCTGGTGATGCGGCGGGCACGGCCATGCGAAAGTCAGCAGAGAGCGCCATCCTGGCATGTAAAAAGAGCTTCAGAAGTGTTTCAGAATCTCTCATCAGCAAGCCTCTGCGTGCCCAGGCGGCGGTACGTCAGGCGCCGGGCCGGCAAGAAAGCCTGCAAAAGCAAACAAGTAAAGAATAGCTTCGAGGAATGCATGTGAACCCTGCAAAAAAAAAATGAATGCCAGCCGAGGCTCAATGCGAAGAATCTCGACCTCAGCTGCGTCCGCATGCCAGTGCATTGCGTGGCCAACGAGATGGCCAAACAATTCCCTACAAGCTTTTGAGATACAAAAACATCACAACCCCGAGAAAAAAGACATTGTCCCATCCTCTTGAATGCAAGCTGAAACTTATTGCCAAGCATCATGCTCCGGCGGCACACCTGCTACAAAAGGGAGCACAGCTTGTGCCAAAACGTACCCGAACAAAAGCGCGCAATGACAGAAAGCTCGCCGCTTACCGCAACACCCGCCTGTGCCGCGGCTGATGGCGCCTTGGACAAGGCTACGCAATGCCTGCGGAGCTTCGGAGCGCAGCTTGAATGTGCGTCCTGTCTCTCTCGCGTTCCATTTTGCAATCTTCGTCCAAACGATGCACTCTGCCTGGGTTGAGGCCAGCCCCAGCGAGCTGCCATTCAAGCCGAAAGCAACGCGAAGGCTCAGGCTGCCTGAGGTGCACTCAAGTGACCCTCTCTCTGCAGGACACTTCAAGCAAGTGATGCTTTCAAGCATCACTACCTGACTGCAAACAAGATGCCGAGCACGAAAACACTGGTGTTCGATGCGTCAGTCTCGTTCTCTCCTTTGGAGTCAAATAAAACACGATGTCAGGATGCTACATGCCATGCCTGTGGACAGGGGAAAATGCAGCCCCGGCAAGCACAAGCTCGAATTCAATGCTCCAATCGCAACAGATTGAAATGCAGCTAGGTGACCAATTCCCAAGCCGTTTGACGTGGTGATATTGCTGCTGCTGTCACTTGTACTGGTCGCGGATGATGTTGTACTGGTGGTAGCGTTGGTGGTTGTCCAGCTGCTTGTCGTTGTCCAGCTTCTTGTAGTGTTTGTCCCCGTGGTTGTCGACAATGTAGTGAAGGAAGTGCTGCTTGTGGACCTGGTGGTCGTGTGGGTTGTGGTGCTGTTTGTGCTGGTGCCATCTGTGCCAGTTGTACTGTCAGTTGTGCTGCTTGATGTATTTGTCCAGGTGGTTGTCCAGCTGCTCGACGTGGTCCAGCTGGTTGTAGTGTTTGTCTCCGTGCTGGTTTTCGGCGATGTGGTGAAGGCACTGCTGGTTGTGGACTGGGTGGTCGTGTGGGTTGTCGTGTTGCTTGTGCTGCTGCTATCTGTGCCAGTTGTACTGTCAGTTGTGCTGCTTGATGTATTTGTCCAGGTGGTCGTCCAACTACTTGTCGTGGTCCAGCTTGCTGTAGTGTTTGTCTCCGTGGTGGTTGTCGGCAATGTGGTGAAGGCACTGCTGGTTGCGGACCGGGTCGTCGTGTGGGTTGTCGTATTGCTTGTGCTGCTGCTATCCGTCCAAGTTGTAGTGTCAGTTGTGGTTCTTGACGTGTTTGTCCAGGTGGTCGTCCAGCTGCTCGACGTGGTCCAGCTTGTTGTAGTGTTTGTCTGCGTGGTGGTCGTCGGCAATGTAGTAAAGGCACTGCTGGTTGTGGACCGGGTGGTCGTGTGGGTTGTCGTATTGGTTGTGCTGCTGCTATCCGTCCAAGTTGTAGCGTCAGTTGTGGTTCTTGCCGTGTTTGTCCACATGGTCGTGTTTGTCTGCGTGGTGGTCGTCGGCGATGTGGTGAAGGCACTGCTGGTTGTGGACTGGGTGGTCGTGTGGGCTGTCGTATTGCTTGTTGTGCTGCTATCCGTCCAAGTTGTAGTGTCAGTTGTGGTTCTTGACGTGCTTGTCCAGGTGGTCGTCCAGCTGCTCGACGTGGTCCGGCTTGCTGTAGCGCTAGTCCCCGTGGTTGTCGGCGAGATGGTGAAGGCACTGCTGCTTGTGGACTGGGTGGTTGTGTGGGTTGTGGTGTTGTTTGTGCTGCTTCTGCCTACGCCAGTTGTACTTTCTGTTGTGGCGCTTGAGGTAGTTGTCCAGGTAGTCGTCCAGCTGCTTGCTATGGTCCAGCTTGTTGCGATAGTTGTTGACGTGGCGGATGTGGTCAAGGTACTTCTGATCGTGGATGAGGTTGGAATTCCGTCACTTGTGGTAGTTGTTGTTGCAGTGCTAGATTCTGAAAAGACCTCGGGGAAAAAGACAGCACGCAACCGACCATGACTGTCATGAGAGATGAGATCATCCTCAGGGCTGCACGCTTGTGGTAAATGTCTGCTCACCGTCCCCTTGTGCCACAACCACCTGCGCATCAGATACCTTGGCGTGTCAGCACGCACGAGATTTGCACTTCAAAGCACCTCTCTTGCAACATCTTGCAACAGTAATTACGCTGCACCAATCTGCCATCCAGAACTCAGAAAGGAAACAACTTGAAACATCTTGCCAGGTCATTCCCCAAATCGCGCTTTGAACACTGCTCCCTTTGGCAGTCAAGGTTCGCTGGCTGCGTCCACGTTCACGCTGTCCAGGTCAGCGTCCTGCGCGGCATGATCATGCCACCATGGATGGCAGCTCAGCAAATGTGCCCAAATGGACTCGGGCAGTTTCAAGTTTCCAAGCCAGGCCTTGAATGCATCACGCCACTGTTGCGAGTCTGACAGCTGCCGCGAGATTGCTTCACTACCGCCTGCAGGCACAGCGCACACTGGGAAGCGGAGACTGGAACACCATGAAAAGCGTTGTGTCCCATGGTGTCCGTGTAGCGGATTGACCATATGACACCCCGTTTGCTGGGACTGAGCAAGTTCAGAGACCCGTCGCCGCACTGCAAGCAATGAAAGAACAATGTGGCTCAAGCAATCGCCGCGGATCAGTTGAAAGGGTGAGAAAAGGAACATCGAACCGCGTGCGCCTTCTGACAGACTGGCACGCAAGTTGTCCGCTGCAGAAGTGTCCCCTGCCACCAGGCAACAATCGACAAACCGGCCCTGTCGCTAGCAGTGCAGGCAAACCTTTGCCATTGCACGGCTCTGCCTGGTGATGCGGCGGGCACGGCCATGCGAAAGTCAGCAGAGAGCGCCATCCTGGCATGTAAAAAAGGGCTTCAGAAGTGTTTCAGAATCTCTCATCAGCGAGCCTCTGCGTGCCCAGGCGGCGGTACGTCAGGCGCCGGGCCGGCAAGAAAGCCTGCAAAAGCGAACAAGCAAAGAATAGCTTCGAGGAATGCATGTGAACCCTGCAAAGAAAACAATGAATGCCAGCCGAGGCTCAATGCGAAGAATTTCGACCTCAGCTGCGTCGGCATGCCAGTGCATTGCGTGGCCAACGAGATGGCCAAACAATTCCCTACAAGCTTTTGAGATACAAAAACATCACAACCCCAAGAAAAATGACATTGTCCCATCCTCTTGAATGCAAGCTGAAACTTACTGCCAAGCATCATGCTCCAGCGGCACACCTGCTACAAAAGGGAGCACAGCTTGTGCCAAAACGTACCCGAACAAAAGCGCGCAATGACAAGAAAGCTTGCCGCTTACCGCAACACCCGCCTGTGCCGCGGCTGATGGCGCCTTGGACAAGGCTACGCAATGCCTGCGGAGCTTCGGAGCGCAGCTTGAATGTGCGTCCTGTCTCTCTCGCGTTCCATTTTGCAATCTTCGTCCAAACGATGCACTCTGCCTGGGTTGAGGCCAGCCCCAGCGAGCTGCCATTCAAGCCGAAAGCAACGCGAAGGCTCAGGCTGCCTGAGGTGCACTCAAGTGACCCTCTCTCTGCAGGACACTTCAAGCAAGTGATGCTTTCAAGCATCACTACCTGACTGCAAACAAGATGCCGAGCACGAAAACACTGGCGTTCGATGCGTCAGACTCGTTCTCTCCTTTGGAGTCAACTAAAACACGATGTCAGGATGCTACATGCCATGCCTGTGGACAGGGGAAAATGCAGCCCCGGCAAGCACAAGCTCGAATTCAATGCTCCAATCGCAACAGATTGAAATGCAGCTAGGTGACCAAATCCCAAGCCGCGCGTCGTGCTCATAGGTTGGGTTGTCGCTGTTGACGTGGTGGTGCTACTGCTGCTGGCGCTGGCAGTGGTCATCAAGCTTTCATCTGTCAAAGTTGCACTGGTTGTAGAGGTCCACATTCTCGTGGTCGAGAAGGTTGTGCTGGTGCTCGTGTTAATCGCGTTGATGGTTGCCGTGTGGGTGGCAGTGTCAGACTCTGTGCTTGTTGTATTTGTCCAAGTGTTCGTCCAGCTGCTTGTGCCAGTTGTAGTGTCAGTTGTGCTGCTTGATGTATTTGCCCAGGTTGTCGACCAACTGCTTGTCATGGTCCAGCTTGTTGTAGTGTTTGTCCCCGTGGTTGTCGGAGATGTGGGGAACGCACTGCTGCTTGTGGACTGGGTGGTCGTGGCAGTTGTGGTGCTGTTTGTGCTGCTGCTTTCTGTGCCAGTTGTGGTGTCAGTTGTGCTGCTTGATGTATTGGTCCAGGTGGTCGACCAACTGCTTGTCATGGTCCAGCTTGTTGTAGTGTTTGTCCCCGTGGTTGACGGCAACGTAGTGAAGGCACTGCTGCTTGTGGACTGGGTGGTCGTGTCGGTTGTGGTGCTGTTTGTGCTTCTGCTACCTGTGCCGCTTGTAGTATCAGTTGTGATGCTCCATGTATTTACCCATGTGGTCGTCCATCTACTTGTTGTGGTCCCGCTTGTTGTAGTGTTTGTCCCCGTGCTTGTCGGAGATGTGGGGAACGCACTGCTGCTTGTGGACTGGGTGGTGGTGTCGGTTGTGGTGCTGTTTGTGCTGCCGCTATCTGTGCCAGCTCTACTGTCAGTTGTGCTGCTTGATGTATTTGTCCAGGTGGTTGTCCAGCTGCTTGTCATTGTCCAGCTTGTCGTAGTGCTTGTCCCCGTGGTTGTCGCCAATGTGGTGAAGGCGCTGCTGCTTGTGGACTGAGTGGTCGTGGGGGTTGTGGTGCTGTTTGTTCTGCTGTTTGTGCTGCTGCTATCTGTGCCAGTTGTACTTTCTGTTGTGGTGCTTGAGGTAGCTGTCCCGGTAGTCGTCCAGCTACTTGTTGATGTGGCTGTACTGGTGGTTGTGTTGGTTGCAGTGACAATTGCAGTGATGGCTGCAGTGATTCTTGCAGGGCTGGTCTCAGTCCTGGATACAGTTGTGGAGGTTGTGCTGGTAGTTGTCTCAGTTGAGGTGGTTGTGTTGCTGCTGGTTGCACTGGCCGTAGCCCACATGCTGGCAGTCGATGAGGTTGTGCTGGTGGTCGTGTTGGTTGTGTCATTTTCCCGTCCATTGTCCAGCGTTGTGTGGGCTACGTTGGATTTTGCAAGGGCCGTCGCCCTTCTCGAGAAAAACATGCGCGTTGGCACCTCTAATTGCCCTGCAGGGCGTGATTTGCCCTCTGAGCTTCTGGCTGCCTTTGTAGCAATTCCAAAGGGCGTGTCCTGAGTGGCAAACACCACCCTGCAAGGGCTCTCTGGCACGAGTTGTTCCAAACGCCCTTTCACAAGGGTGCAGGCTTGCCCATGGAAATCAACAGGACGCAATCCCAATTGCGACTTTTGTGCCTTGCTCATTGTTTCTGATTTTGAGGCTCAGCAACCCTACGGCACCGTGAGTGACTACGGAAGATCCAAGCATCGACCCCCAAAGCCGCAAGCTTTCGCAAGCTTCTGGCAGTGGGAGCGCGCGCGTCTGACTTAGCCTCTGTGCGCCTTGGTTCTTGGTCTCATCAATGCAGGCCCAGAACCAATGTGCTTCAATCGGCAAGGATGAAAGGTTGGCGAGAGAAAAACTGCATGCAAACCCCTTGCAACCAGCGCGGGATCCAGTCGGGATCCGCCAAGAAGCACTTTGGCGCCCTCTGGCACCAGGCTTGGGTCAGACTGCAAAAGAATCAGCGATAGCCTCGGGGCTACAGTCAGGGTCTAACTCCGCACTTGCTTCTGAGGCTGTGGCTGAGGTACGTCTTTTCGACGATCTAAGCTGAGCCCTGTTCCTAGAGAACCTCAGATCCAAAGCGCGACAAGGGCAGTGTGCCAACATCGGAATTTGAACCCCCCAAAACGGATTTGGCTTTTCCTTTGGCCTCTCCTTGCGCCGACCTAAAACACATACTCACATCTGCGATCCCCTCAGCCCAGTAGCGGCAGAGCTCCTTAAGCACGCGTGAATTCGGGAAAAGCCGCTTGGCCAGGACCTGGCAGCGATCCGAATGTCCAAGCCCGTCACCCCTGCGACAAGTGACCTGAAAGAAAGTGGGATTTGGAGGGTGCCACTGAAAAGCTGGCGGGGTCGTAGCGGGTGTTTCTCCAGTGACATGGCCCGCTGACGTCCCTTGTTTCGCCAAGGGGCGCAAAAGCGGCGTGGCGCATTTCGCAACCTAGGCGTGTGATCCCGTGTGGTGCGTAGCTCCCCTGACCTGTTTAGCAGGAGGAATACATAGGGGTGGCGTGTGCAAAATTCAATCGTCCACCGCCATTGGTCGAATAATCAAAAATAACAAACAGGGCTGTCCCCCATGTTGAAACACGTTTTCGCCACTATTTGAACTCCGAGTCCCCTGAGGAAAACAAACTTGGTGGGCGGCATCCCCAATAGCACCTCGCCAGAGCCCTTCCACAACCTGCTGAGCTCAAAGGTTCAGCTTTCAGCTGTTGGGGAAAAACACTGGTCTGGCAAAACTGAAAAGGTCCAAATCCCCTTCCTATTGGGGGGGGGGGGGTGGGGGATGATGGGCTACTTGCACCAGGAGGACAAACAGAGCTCAATGCACCATACTTGCCACGTGGCCGCCCCAGCCATCGAAGCCGCCGCAAAGAGCGGCACAACGCAGCTGAGAACTGGCAGGACTCAAGCAATCATGGACACCCAGCATTGCACTGAAGCAGATGGTTCAATTCCCGGTAGGCGTCAATAAATAAGTCAAGGGGATGAGTAAACCAGAATCGAATTCGCCACGTACTGTCACCCAATGTAGTCTAGGTGATGTTGATTTATAAGGGGTGTCTCCTTAAAGAGGAAATCCCTCATGCTGTGTGGAAGGATCTCCCTAGTAATCCACCAGGTTGAGCACATGTTGCGTAAGATCGCATGCACGATAGAGGCATGCTGAGCTTGGCGCTTGGTGAGCTCGTCTCGCATCACCTGTGGAGTGCCGTCAAACGGGCGTGTCTTTCTTGGGAGGACCCCAGAATGGTGGTTTTCCTTTTGGTTCTCATTTAAAGCCACAAACAAACACCTGCACAAGGGTTTCTGGAAGACAATTTTCCTTTTGAGGGGACTCCTGTGCAAGCTCCATGTTTGTTTTTGGGAGGGTGCCCTCAAAAACAAGACCCCGGATCAAGGCCTGTGTCTGAAGCGCGGGCAGTCCATTGGCACGCGCCTGAGACATCCCTACTGGCAAGAACGTGGAGCTCCCCTTCCACACAGTTTGTCCCGGTTGGGGGTGTCAAAGCCACCGCTGCCACCGCCCCTTTGCTTCACAACGAATCCCTGGGGCCGCAGACCGCTGCGCACCGACGGCCAAGCGCCGCCTGCGAACGCCTCAGCAGGCAGTGGGTTCCTTCTAAACCAGGCAAGGGGTGCTAGTAACATCAAACAAGACATGCCCACTTGTGCGCACTCCACAACTGCTACTTTATTTCCGCGCCTCTTCGGCGCATAGAGTGAACAACCTCAGGTGGGCTGATTGCCCTTTCCGATGCGACAGCCAGCAATTCGCAGGAGCTGCCAAACCCACCACGCACAGGGTTAATGTTAATGTTAATGCCAACCCCGGTCTCCAAGGAGTGAATCACATCCACTCCTGCGTGAGAAGAACCGCAAACATCTGCACCCCTTCAGCTATCTGAAAGGAAAGATTCCGCCGCGATGTCTGTATGTGGCATGGGAATACCCGAGCTGTGGGTCGCCTTCCCTCTGACCGCCCTCTTCTCTCTCCGCTCCCTCCCCCCCATTTTAAATGGCCACATACATGGGCGTTCCTTGGTGCGAGCTGGAACCCATTTTTGTTAAAACCCATTGAGGGCCCCCTGATCAACGGAAAGCGACACAACATTGCTGAAAGTTGCCAGGAAGCCCCAGCACAAGCAGCTGGCGAATGCTCCCGCGCATACATCCGGCTAGTGCGATTCTCGCTCCATGGGAGAGTACGAGTCAGAAATGTCGATGCATGCTCTGAGTCTGAGCTTGTCATTGTGTTTTTGGGCACGCTATCATTGTGGTTTGTGTCTTGTTTACTTACTTACTTACTTACTTACTTACTTACTTACTTACTTACTTACTTACTTACTTACTTACTTACTTACTTACTTACTTACTTACTTACTTACTTATATATTTCGTTATTTATTTATTTAACTATGTATTTATCTATGTTTATTTGTTGTTTGTTTGTTTATTTATTTGGGTGGGTCTGTGCACAAAAAGCGCCGTGTTGTTGCGGGGCACGGATGCGTCGCTTGATGGCCATGCACGTTGCTACCTTGTTGGTGTGTTTCTTCCAGATCTGATGGCCGAAAATGCAAGTTGGCTCAGAAATGCACGGCTTCGACAGGCTTGCCTCGCAACAACATCGCCATAGTCTGCAAGGGACACCAACACAAACCAATCACACTGAGTCTTGCCATCCGCCTGCCCAGCCAGCGCGCTCCAAGCCCGACCCCAGTCCTGAAAGGCAGCGCGAGGGAATCACAACATATGTGGCTGCGTCTCTTTTTTTTGAGGGTAGTTGACTCAAAGGGAAACTAAAGGAAAACCACTGTGCACAGGTCCCGCACTGCTGGTTGAAGGAGGGTCCTTTCAAATCATTTCTCGAAGTGGGCTGGGAATTTTCCCTATTTATGAAAAGGAGCTGCCAAACCTGGCGGGGAGGCTTTGTTGTGGCTCCTGTCGTGGAAGAACCGCTACGTGTCGCGACACGGCCTTGTAAAACCGGACAGCCCATCTCGACCTTGAGAGGGCTTTTTAAAAGTGATCTGATCTGAGCGCAAAGCGCTTCAACGTATAGTTGGCTCGGCGCTTGTTCTCGGACCAGCAGCAGGCGCAGGGTTAGACAATGAAATAACGCAGAAAAGTATATCTCTCAGAAGACCAACCAGCCTCGTCACAATGCTAGCGTTGCTGGCTACTCACTGTGGCGCTCCTGCCGCCTGATCTTGCGCGCGCGAGGAGAAGCAGGATCCTCGAAAAGAGGGCGCGCTGTCGCCAGGCACCAAGCATGCCCGCCCCCTCACAGCAAGACCGATCACAGAATACGCTCTGTTGATTCTGTGGAGCAATACCCATTCTGTGGACACCACAGCATCCGGTTTTCGTGAAGTTCTTTAACATTGGAGCAAAGCCCATCCGCGAGGAACAGGTCCGAACGCTTAACTTCAATCAGATGCCCAAAGCTGGAGAAGCTTTGCAGCAAGCTTGCCTGGAGGCACAAGCCTGGGGGCTGAAAGTCCCAACGCAGGCCCCGCTGAAGAGCAGGCGTCTTGGGCCCCGCCAGCCAACCCGAGCAGACAGCTGCTGAGAAGGACCGCAATGAGATCACCCAGTCAAAGTCAGCTGAACAGAAGACAGGGTGGAGGACGCCCCTATGGACGAACTGGTCGTGGCGCCGGCGACAACCAACTCCGTCAGTAGCGCTACGATCCGGCCTGGAAGCGCCTGAAAAGGCAAGGTTGTCGACGCGAACGCACTAAAGACCGAGGCAGCATGTTTCCAGCCGAATATTTGTTTAGCGTGTTTGCCCCCAACAGGACCGCAAGTAATGCGTCATCGGCAACGGGGTGAACTACCCCCGCGCCATAGCATCTCACATCGCCGAGCTCGGCTTGACGCGCGCGGAGGCGGAAGTCAAAGAAGGATCGCAGCCGCGGACCCGCCCGCGTGGAGGCCCGAGGCGTGCCGAGACATGCTTGAAGCACATGCTGGCCACGCCCGCGCCCAATGTCCGCAGTCCGCGGGGCAGTGGCTGCCTGGACTACTGTGGGGACCGGTCTCGCCCGCCGCGCTGCCTGCGACGGCCGCTGTGGCGAGAACCATCGCAATGTTCTCAGCTCCGTTCAACTCAGCGCCCGTGAGAGCCTCCATGATGGGGAGCCTGTTTTCCACGAAAAGCATCGAAGAGCAGCGAGTTGCTCAGCTGATGGTTGGCTGTCTGTGCCGTGTTGCCGTGCAAGTCCGTTTCGTGCTTGCTCCCATTCCAAGAACAAAGCCGCTGGCAGCTCAGGGCAGCAAACAGCACAAATCCGATTCTTCCCATAAGCTTCATAGCCAGTTTTGAGCAACCTTGCCCATGGTTGCAGTGCTGCAGGGATCAACTCGTTGACGTCTCTTTGTGTGACTTTATCCAGGGCATCTATGTAGCGTTGCTCGACCCGGGCGGATGTTGAGCCGGGCAAATGTTTGAGCCAAATGTTGAACAGGATTAAACAGGAAGGGCAACTATCAGCCTTTCTAGCACCGAACCTTCTGACATACTGCTTCATTGTTGCGACTTCCGGCAATCGCAAGAATGCTAGGTCCCATGGAGCTTGCGGGAGCCGATGCAGGACCCTGGTTGTTCTTTGCAGGTGATGCTTGGGCTTGGAAACTTCTTGTGTGGGTCATGGCTCCCGGTAGGAGTCCTTAGAAAAGTATAAACTAATATCACTATCTGTCTGAGCTCCCCAGTGAGCCCAGCAAGAGATCCAGAGCCAGCCCCACTTGCACCAAGTCAGCACACGGCAGGCCTGCAATTCTTGGCGAACTCTGCGCAGCGAAATTCGCGCCGCGGCAACGGCTTCCAGACTTTCAGCCAAAATGCTCGGCGAACTCAGCATCTCTTTGCTACCGTGCCCACAAGACCAGGCAACCAAGGCCTAAACCTTGCATCCTGCATTTCGGCAGTGCCCTTTAGCTTTCGTGGCTCACAGTTCAGCCGCCTTTGTCGCACACGTGAGCAAGCACGCACAGTACGGGGCGCGCGGTGCTGAGGCGCACTTCAATCAGGCGCCTGTCAACCTCGGCGAGGGGGAACATTCTCAAAGCGCGGCTTGTGCAACGAACAACCCAACATTGGTGACCAGCATGCCTTTGCGCAGGCCAAGTGGCACAGGAAGCACGCTGGGCTTGCGCATGCTGGAAGAATTGCTCAAAACCTCAGCTCAGTTGGGTGTGTTGATTGGTGTCTGCTTCCCTGACCAGGAGAATCTCTGAGCCTCAGACACGCCTACCTTTGCCATCTCTTTTCTCACTCTATCTCTTCCCGCATACTCGCCCAACACACACCACAGAGTGAAGTGAGAGTGTTTTGGAAACAGTCGTTAGGATTCACATGTAGATGGGGGAGGAATGTCTTTCTTGTCATTCACCTGCTCGCTTCCTTGCTTTCTATCAGTAACTATCCGATGAAGAATGACAAACTTCACCTGGAAACGTGCTCGGAACTTGGGTTGTCTGAAGGTTGACTGAGGGTGCGGCAGGTGCGACTTCATCCGTTCGTAGGCAAAAACGCAAAGTGTGAGCCTTGCGAGGCTCAAGACTTCAAAGGCTATTTGGAAGTGCGCCCTACTGCGCCCTTGCTCACCCCCTGATAATGTTCACTTCGAATTAATCTCTTCCCCCTATGAATGAATGACCCCAATTAATAAAAAATGGAAATCCGGGGCCCGGGCCCAGAGTTCCACTCCGCACAATTGCTTTTTAATTGCGCCAATACTAAACCAATACTAAAGTCTTGGAATCCTTATTAGGGGGCACTTTTAACAAGCTTCCAGCCCCACTTTTAAGCTGCGACTGTCTCTCCCCCGTACATGCTGGCTAACCTGCCTGGCTGCAAACAAACAACCAGTAAACTGAAAAACCAAATAGAATGATACATAAAAATTCCCTATTAAACCGCTTACTCGCCGCGGACCTTACAATTCAATCCATTTCCTCCAAATCCTATGTGAACCCTCACATTGTTGGAAAAGCAAAAAAACCCAACCCCAAAAACCCCAATTAGAAAAAATACCTTTTTGGGAGGATTTATTTATAATAGGGGAGGGGGGGGGCGCGTATTTATTAATAGGGGGAAGAGATTAAACTGGAGGGCCGTGCTGATCAGGTGTGGCCTGCTTACGATGTCCTCTGACGAGCATGGTCCTTTGGATCACTACAATGTTACCAGATCACTGCGCCACATCCCAGGGCTCCATGGCACCTGGGCGTCAGCCACAGGACTCTGGCCAAAGCACCGTCCATTAGCGCTGCAGCACCTGGCACGTGACGAGCCACGTCGGTGTCCCCAAACACGCGAACATTCAAAGCCTCAAGGAACTGGGGACTGACTGCCAAGCAACATTCGGCTAGCCATTCAATACCTGCACGTGGCCATCCCATGGGTGCTAATTGCCCAAACAACAAGATCCAATAATTCATTCCTCCAGAAAGCTGAATTCTGAATCCGGGTATGTGTCAGAATACTGGAGCCCAAACAAGTGTTGTTTCCTGGTGGAAAACCCACATGAACACGAAGCCATATCCTGAGACAAACCTTCTACTGGATGCCCTGTCAAACCCGCCCTCGTGTTGCAGCAGGTGCTGCGCAGCTCCTCGGCCGCATTGCGCAGCACCACGAAAACCGCCGAGTGGCACACCACACGCCAGCAACATGTGTTTTGTTCAACCAAAAGCCTAGGCGTGATGCTTGGAATGCCCCTGACCCTGCTTCCCTCGCAAACATGTTGACCTGCTCGCAGGACTTTGGGCGCAAGCCACACCCCGTGACGAATCGAGCATTTCAAGCGCAGTGTTCAAATACAGGGCAATGCAAGGCATTGCAACATCAATTCGCAGTGTGCCACAGTGCCAAGTACTACAAGAATAGTGTGGCTTGCGGTGCATACGGGCTGTGGCGCTGTGCGGAGAGGTATGGAGTTGCACGCAAGTTGTTTGCCTCCCTTGCACGTTGCCAGGCCATGTTGCACATGTTGCTCAATATGTTTGATACGTCGCCTCATACACCCTCATTTGCTGTGACAACTAGTCATACCTCGGCGAGTTGCATCCGAGCACGCACTTTGATTGCCATGCGGTGTAGATGCAGCTTTGCTGGCCATGGAAAGACTGTTTGTCGCAACCGTCAGTGCTGCATTTCCGCTCAGATTCCGTAAGCCAAGTTGCCGAAGCCGCTGCTGTAGGGAAACATGTCCTGGCACGGCCGTGTCAACCTACTCGTGCATCCCAACACGGCCCTGACGAAAGCTACGCCTTCGAGTGCCACAAGGGCTCCGACAGGCAACGTGCCAGGGATGCTGGGTTGGCGTTGGCCACCTGGAGCCGCGTCTTCAGGACGTCCACAGGATTGGTCACCAATCCCTAGCCAAACGCTTCCGAAAATGCGACAAGAAGCAAAGCCCGTGGCCCCCGTGGCCCGGGCCGCTGCAACTCCTGCTGTTGTGCCACAGGACAGCTGCGCCACGGGATCTAGGTTGCCATTGGCATCTGCGTACCTTGGGCAAGGGCCGGCCCTGAAAACGTGGCGCTGGCGCCGGTCAAGCCCTGAACGCTCGACTGCTGGATGCTAACCAGCTCCTATTGCAAGGTAGCGGCCCTGCGTCTAGCGACATCTCCTTCAACTTCTCGTACACTGCGAAATAACCTCAGGCTGCATCCCTTGGCAGTGGTCACAAACGCAGCTGGAAGGTGGCCGCAGTAATAACAGCGTTTCAGCAAGCAGCAACCAGCGCTGCAGCCCAGCGACATCCGTTGAAGGGGATCCAGGGCACTTGATGAATTGGGAATGACCGGTACCTGGCCCAACATGAATGCCACATGTGGCTCGTGCCGAAAGAGTGGATGACTCAAGCTGGCACAGTGCTCTGCAACACTTAGCCCGGCACAATCCAACCACACCCTCCTTAACTATGCCACTTGTGCCAAGCTGCATTCAGTGGGTCATTTTGGCTCGGGCAACAAGTCTGCAAGAATTCTGCCAGGAGGCATGCTGAAGGATCTTCCTAAAGGCATCGAAGGAGCCACTGTAAGCAGTCGCAGCCTCAGACGAATTGACTGATTGGAAGCCATCAAATTGCCCCAGGGAACCCAAAATGGCAACCACCACCCATATTTGGCGAGGTGCCTTGCCATTCTTTCCAGTATATAAACCCGGCTGTCCCATGTTCATCCATTTGAGACAGCCCATCTGTCCCTGACTTGCAACATGCGGCGCCCCCTCCTCGCCTTCACTTGGCCCTCAACTTGCAGCCGCTCCTTCACCACTTCCTGAATGGGGCTGGCGCTGGTTGAAGGGCTCAACCACGTGCTTCATGTACGTTTATGCATGAAGATTCTGTATGTATATATGTAGCTTCTTTACATACATAAACAGTATTGCATTGACATACCTGTGTCTGTGTGTGTGTTCATGCTATATATATATATATATGTTGCGCATATGTTTATGTGTGAGACGATCTAGTTCTGAATCTGTGTTTGCGAGGTTGAGCCCCTTGGCCGTGCGCAAACTCACCTCGTAGCGACTTTAGGCCAGGCATATCATCCCCCACACAAATCCAAGCCCACCACGAACGCAGGACGCCCATGTGCCAAAGCACTCTTCCCTCATGGCCCATGAGTCCTCTGAGTGCGACATGCTATGGGGGCAGGTTGCTTCAAGCCTTCATTAACCGGCCAGCCATTTGCTGCATCGTGCCTCCCAAACCTTCACGAAGCCTACAACCCTTGAACCCACCCACCCCCACCCGCCCGAAAAAGCCAAACAACACACAGGAGAAAAAGAAGAGAAGCCAAACGGCACCACATGTTGCCTTCATGACAAACCACAGCTGGGGCACCCTACAACGGGCACCCAGGCCACAGAGCCAGCAAGCTGCGCCTGCGCGTGCGGAAAACCGCCCAGCCAGGTTCCATGGTGGATGGGAGGCACATATGTAAAGGGCACTCTCCAAACACCTCAAACATTTCAATCGCCAAAACCTGGTTAGTCTGCTCAAGTGCGCAGCCACTCAGCCAGCTGTTGTCCCTGAAACAAATGATTCTGTTTGTGCCTACTCTCTTGGCTGTCGCACTATTCAGCCCAAGCGAAGCCAGCGAGGCGAAGCATGGGCAAGACACACTGTAAGGCAGCCACGCAAACTCCCGCAGCGAAGTTTCCACTGTGGCCTCAGCGAGCAACCCTTCGATTCTGGCAAACCAAATAACTGGGCTTCGCTCTTTCAATCTCTTTCACACCCAAACGGGCAGTGAAATATTTTGACCCGTTTCGGTACCGCTGGCAGACGCCGCCTTCTAAAGGGGATCCAAGAAGGATGCCTAATTTTTGACAACGCCCATATCAAGAACTGAAAAAGCGACCCCCCGCTGGCACGTCGACACTCTGACTTCGCCACGCCTCCTCCCAGGCTCTTCTTGGCAGCCTCGTAGCTGCCGAAATACAGACCCTGGCCGGGCACAGGCCAGGACTTGGGGTTGGGTCCAAACGGAATGCCACCACAAAGTTGGGCAAGTGGCAAGCCCAGGAAGGACCCCCTGGTTGATTAACGAGGGCGTCCATGTTAGAGGGAATCCTTCACTTTTGCGGGGAACACCGAAATATTCATCTGACAGGTTGATCAATCCGGGCTCAACATTGCAGAATGTGTATGCAAACATCTAGCGCGCTTTTGCGTTGGCTTCCCTGCCTGCGCCGGCGCTGCTCCAACCACGACCACCCCCAAGCCCCGATAAAGGGCAAAGGGACCTTCCTGAGAATCAAAGTGACGCATGGCACATGCGACTTCACATCTCGGGAGGCTGTAAACACCAAAACGACTCCGAACAGGTGCCCGGCATTCCTCAGAATGTGCAGCAGTGCGTGCGTGACCTTCCAGCGCGGTGACAGAGCGCGTTGTCATAGCGCGGTGTCATAGTGCGGTGTCATAGAAGAAAAAACAACATGCACCTCAAGGCGCCCCAGGTGGCGCTTGGGGTGATACCAACAAATCTGCATCCGCAGATCTCCGGTCATGCACGTGCTCACCTGCAAAACCACCCGGCATGCCCTGACACCTAAGACCTCAGTGTAGTCAGTGACGCTCGAATTCGACATTCGCGATGAAGCTCAAGTAGAATAGTCAGGCTTCAGTTTCAATGTGACCATACAGGTCTCCATCCAGCAAGTATGCCCGCCCATCCAATCTTCCCAGCTACAAGCAATTTCCGCCTGGGGCCTTTGATCTTGAATGTTGCGTTGGTTAACGGCATGTTTGTTTTGGCAAGACTTTTGGTTTCGCCCGGCAACGTCTTTCGCCAACTTCTTGTTCAGGATTCGCGGGTTTGTGTGATTCGTCCGCTGCTGTGTTCGTCTTTGGCACCATGCCCGTTTCTTCTTCGAATTCGGGGCCTGCAACTTGGAATTCATGCTAAGCGGCATGGTTTATCTTTGTGCAATGGGTGTCTTCGCCTAATGGTCATTCTGCCGCTTCACTGCTTGGATCTGAGAACTCGGCCCCTCGGTATGATACAGCCCCATGAAGACCACCGCCACTCCCCTGGCACGCGGGGGGGTTGGGGGTCGCCCCAATCCAACACCAAATTTTACATGACTTGGCAGGAAAGGAGGAACCTCAAGACTAAAGTTTACCAAAGAAACATCTCCCCGTGTCCTCTTACTTGATCCTGGCAACTGCCGCCTGGATCTGCAGGCGTGTTTTGATGGTAGAGACCGGGTGTGTGATGAAATCCTGCGGCAAAGAAGCATCGAAACGCCATAGACATCAGCCAGCCGCCAAACGGTGTGACTCTTTTTTTGACAGTGCAGTTTTCGGGGTATTGGAAACTCAAGGCAAACCACCCATGTATTTTTCCCCGTGGCGCAAACCCTTTTGACTTCTGGCGAGCCGCTGCAAAGATACCGGCCGCGCTGCCCGCCACGATCTGCATCCGGAGGGCCTTGGTGACTCCGCTCTCGTCAGCCCGGCTATGTTTAGCTCGTCTTTTTCGAGGGTGCCCTTTTGTTGGGACTGGCCAGGCACACCAAAGATCGCCAAAAGGGAAAACCGCCATTCTGGGGGTCCAAACCTATGTTCATACTATCACATACTCTCCGAAAACCAGCTCCGGCCCCCGGCTGAATCGCCCATGCCACGGTGCCATGGATCCATCTACTCGGTGACAACTGGTGCCCGCTTGAAGAAACTCGTGAGACAAATTGTTCAAAATCAAACCGGTTTCGCAGACAGCTGGCAAAGGAGCAGTGCGAGAAGGGAACACCCTTTGACATACATCACTTCTACTTGGAGGCACCCAAGAGAAAAAGGTTTCAAGAACATACGCAGCCTGGGGTGAACGGCAACGAGGCGCATTGCCAATTCAAGCAAAGCACATGGATCAGAGGCACCAAATCGATCTGAGAGGCATCCCACTCTTTGCAACCCACCGAGTTCTCATTGTCCCAAGCCAATGCGCCAACTTTTTCCGGCTTGCCCACGGCCCGTGAGGTCTGGAACCAGGCGCCAGTCAACCTTGCAAACCTCGGCACATGCTCCCGATAAAAGGAAAGCCAGTCGACGTGGGTGACGAGCCGGGCAAGTGTCTTGCTGTCTTGCACAGTCCAAGCGGCAAGTGTGGGCGCGCTTGGGCTTGCCTAATGATGCTCACAACCTCAGAAACAAAACGCGTTTCAATTCAGGTGCCGTTCCATTGACGCTTCATGTCACCTAGCACTCAGGCAGACTTGGGGCGGCGCATGTGCGACTTAATGCGCTCGTACGCAAAAACGCAGAGGGTAAGCCTAGCCAAGCCGGCCAGCTGGACTTGAAGCAATTGAAAGTCCCTCAGCTTTATCAGCACCAAAGTCTCACTCTCACCCCAAAAACTGAATGGCACCTGGGCGTCAGCCACAGGACTCTGGCCAAAGCGCCGTCCATCAGCGCTGCAGCACCTGCCACGACTCCAGTCGCTCAGGCAGCTTCGCCACATGTCTGGTGACGTGGGATGGCTCATGATGGGCCGCCACGTGTCTGAATCTGACAGAGCCTCCTCTCAACCTCGAAACCTGCATTTGTGCAAAGTATACCACAACCAGGTTTGCCCATGGCCAAAGCAGTCTGGGCAGGGCGACCCTCGTGCTGCAGCAAGTGTCGCAATGCACCTTGGTTTCGGTGCGTGCGTGCGTGCGTGCCAGCGGCATGCTATGGAGTGAGTTGCTTGTGTTTGGCTTGCTTTGCTGAGGGTGGCCATGTTGACCACTTCAGAATGGCACGCCCGCCCATCCGTTTTCTTTCAAGCCAAGTTGCCCAAGCCATTGGTGAAGGGAAACATATCCTGGCACAGCTGAGCCTCTTGAAATGCAAACAAAAACACCTCGTTCATATTTTCTGCTGCGAATCACCTCCGCCAGTCGGGAAGCATGATGACTCTGCAACCGCTAACCAGTATGCACACTTCTAAGCACAAACAGCGCGTTGATGAATTCAGAACCATCATGATGATTTTGGCAGCATGCTGGTGATTGTTACCACGGCCACGAAACACTACGCGCTGCACATAAGCACAAACAGCGTACCAATGAATTCAGCGGTCTCATGATGACTTTTACAACATCATGGTAATTATCACACGCCCACGAACCGTTTGCGCTACATTGCATATAAGCACAAAACGCTTGTTCATGAATTCAGCAGTCTCATGAGGATTTTGTCTGGTGACGATACTGCAGCCAAACAAGCACCGTCAGCAAGCGCCAACGCACCTGAAGCCACCAAACAGCATCCTGACCAGAACCCTACGCTGTTACAAACAAGAGCCGCTAAATTGCCAAGCTGTCCGTCTAAGCCACTCGAACGGTATTCGCCAGAGGTCAAAAGAAGACCAAGGTGCTCCAAGGAAAAACTCAACTTCGAGGGAGAATAAGCCTTGGTCAAATCCCAAGTCCAGCACAAGTTTCGGCTTATAGAGCCAGCTGCGCAGGACGGAGGATGCGATGCATGGAAGCAGTGACTGGACAAAGGGGTAAAATATGTTGCGGTCCTCAGGAAAAGCATCCTTGGGTTGTCATGGTTGTCTCAAAATAGATGAGATATGAAACCCCCAAAGTGGATGAGAACCTTTTGGTCGCTCCCATCCAAGGGCCGTCAAAAGACGCGCCCGAGCCGAGGGCTCCGAAAGGCAACCTGCCGGGGCTGCTGGATTGGCTCTGGCCACCTGGAGCCGCGTCTTCAGGACGTCCACGGGATTCGTCACCAGCGCCTCGCGTCGCGCGCATCCGTCTGCTCAAAATGCGCCGATGCGCGAAGCACATGGACGGTTGTCGAGAAAATATCGGGACATCGAGGCGCTTGGTTTCAGTCTGGATGTCCTTGCCGGACCTCCTATTTGAGGGACACCAAAAGCAGCGAAGCCCCTTGGATACTGTGAGGCCCGGGCTGCCACGACCCCCGCGGTGGTGCCACAGGAGACCTGGGCCACGGGCTCCAGATTGTCATTGCCATCCTCGTACCTCGCATGGCACCGCCTGTACCACAAGGTGCCAAGATGTGCCAAGTGAACCATGGGGGCCACTTTGGACCATGCAGAGGCAGTTTGCGGGTTTCATGCACAAGCGCAGGACTTGCACCAATTGCAGGGCAGCTGCCCTGCATCTATGCACATCTCTTTGAGCTTCTCGTACACCATAAAGTAACCTGGCAGCGGCACGCGCACAAACGCAGGAAGTTGCAAGAAGCCGCAAAAAGCTCTTGCCGGTCACTGGGGAGAGTTTTTTGAGGGTGGATGCACCACTTCCACACCTTCGGCAAATCCATCTACACCAGTTGCAGTCTAGAAGCAGCCATTGAAAGGAGCCCAAGTCACTTGATGAATTGGGAACGCCCTGTACCTTGCAGCCCAAGCTCCAAGGTCAGGCGACTCACATGCCAAAGCAACATACTCCAAATGTCTTGAAATGCGCTGGCTGCCGGCTTTGGAGCAATCAAGCTTCACAAAACTGAGTCCAGTGCAATCCAATCGCACCCTCCTCGTCACACATGCCCAGCCAATGCAACAAACAAACCCTGTGGCAAGCATGCAAAGGAATAGCTGTACTCAGCCTCTGGTTGTTAGAGCTGGCTCATGCGAATGCAGCCTAGAGGCGTGCTGAAGGATTTTCCTAAAGGCATCGAAGGAGCCGCTGTAAGCAGTCGCAACCTCAGATGGAAGCGGTAAAATTTCTTCCTTAAGACCGGCCCAGTGCACATGACATACTTCGAGCTGCCCTGGTGTCATCAATCATGTGTGTGTGTGTGCGGGCGCGGGCGCGGGCGCGGGCGCGGGCGCGGGCGGGCGGGCGGGCGGGCGGGCGTGCGAGCGGGCGGGCGGGCGTGCGTGGGTGGGTGGGTGGGTGGGTGGGTGGGTGGTTGGGTGGGTGGGTGCGTGTGCGCGCGCGTGCGTGCGTGCGTGCGCGTGACGTGTCACTGTTCCAAGATGCCCTCCAGCAAAAAAACTCATAGACAGCTTCTTCGCAGCTGCCCATGATGCGTTTCCAATGATAAAGCCCTCGCCTTCACCTGTCCCTCCACTTGCAGCCGCTCCTTGATCACATCCTGCGCAGTGCAGGGGCAAACTCGTGCTGAGCGGCGCATCGGCTAGTCCGAACAAAACTGCAAGCAGCTTCTGGCCCAGGCCTACACGCGCCTTGCAACAAGCTACTGCACAGCCCCGCGAAATTGACACAAAACCGAGCAAACCACGGTTGTAGTTCCATCCTGTGAAGTCAAACTGCCGGCCCCCGTGATTGTGCCAAAGCCACCCCAAAGGTCAGAGGAGGCAACCCTTGCCTTTGATACTCTAACATCTCTAACTGCCCCGGCTGAGCGGGGCACCATGGGCACCCAGGCCAGCGAGCCGCAGAGCTGTGCCTCGACGTCAGCCCAAAACGGGCGGAGAACTGGAACCCGTTCTTGGGGTGTCCGTCCATTTGGGGTCAGTGGGAAACCAAACCAAAAAGGATGGCTGCAGCCATATGTTCACTTGCATCCCTTGGCAAGGCGGCGCAGCAAGCAAAGGGTAAGGCAGCCACGCAGATTCCCGCAGCGAAGTTGCCCACGCCGCTCTGGCCTTTTTGCAAGCCACTTCCTCTTGATCGGCTGAATGTCTCTGTACGGGCTTTCCTGGAGGGAGCTGAGTAGAGGATTTGCTCCAAACATCCTCTCACCGCTCTCTTGGGGGGCCATCTAGTGAAAACCTACGCGACTGCCGGTACCGGTGCGCCATGCAAAGGAACAACGTGAGTTGCCTGTGCTTCCTTCGAAGCTTCCCCTAATTTGTGGAAGCCACCTGACCTCTCTCCAAAAAGGGCCTCTCACGTCGACTACCCTGATTGTTTTCGGGACCACTGGCAATCCCTAAACTCTTCATTACAGCAAGGCTGCAAGGTTAGGAGTATCGACAGGGCAGGCTTCATTCTAAAGCGATGCCTTCGTTTTAGGGTTTGTATCATGCAAGCATCCGTCATGCCGTAAGGCTTGCTGCGGACTCAGCCTCAGACCTCCCCCCAGGGCTGCTTTGGCAGTCTCGTAGCCGCCGAAGTACAAGCCCTGGCCGTGGGGCTTCCAACCCCAAATGGAAAAGTGGATACGTTTGAAAGAAGATTCTGGATCTGATACAACAAACTCGCAGAAACTTGCAGGTGACAATGTGACATGCTCTCCGCGTCCACTTCCCTGCCTGGGCGGGTGCTGCGCCAACCAGCACCGCCCCGAGGCCCCTGTAGAGGGCAACAGGGCCCTCCTGAGATATGGCTCGGCTTTCCAAAAGAGAACAACAACTTCCTCATGCGAGCCGACAGGGGAGTCCGTTGCCCAAACAAGGGCCCGGCATTCTTCAGGATGTGCATCATCGCGTGCGTGACCTTGACTTGAGCTAGCAGAACTGTTTGCTCCCACATGGTTCAGGTCCTACATATGCCATAATGGCGTCAACCAAGGACTAAGCGAGCAAGAAAACATCTCGGCTCAAAGTCAGCAGATTTACACTCTCTTCCCTTTGCCGGGACTCGGCTCACCCCTCCGATTCGCACGTTTGCCACCAACGACTTTCTGGACATCGGGCGCACCTGAGCCCTGGGCCCCTCGGTAGACCACGGCCCCATGAAGGCCGCCGCCACTCCCCTGTCGGCCAGCCCTCTTGGCCAAAGCACATCTAAGATTTCCTTTTTGATGGACAAAATGCGTCACTCGGTGGCCAAACCCCGGCTTTTATAGGGGTGCATGGGGCATCCATCCCAGCTGTTGCACGATTTGGTCCATCCAAAATGGTCTTTCTTGACCCAACTGCCGCCTGGATCTGCAGGCGCGTTTTGATGGTCGAGACCGGGTGCGTGATGACATCCTGAGGCATCGCTGATTGTCCCCAGCCGTGCGGCCTGTCTGTGAGGCACAACTGCAAAACTGCGAGCGAGCTGCCGCAAAGATGCCTGCAGTGCTGCCGGCCACGATCTGCGTCCGAAGCGCCTTTCACTCTCACTCGAGTCTCCCCGGCTCGGCTTGGGTCCCGAGTCCCCGGCCGATTCGCCCATGGCGCTGCAAGCCAGCGGGCTGGTTGGACAAATGGCACGGCAACTATTCTCAAAGGTGCGAGATATGGCAACCTTCTTCTGCGACAACCATTTCTCACTGGATGTGTTGGATGCATCAATCCCAGCCCGCTGCAGAGTGAAACAAACAGCTCGGGTTGCGCAGCATGCGCGGCAAGGCTCTCCCAGGCTGTTTTGCAGGAGGGCTTGGCTTCGTTCAGGAGATCTTTCCAGATTGGTTTAAAGGGCAACCAAGAAAGAACAACTCCATTTCGGGGGTCCACATCCCCATTTTGACGCAAAGGCATGCATCTTTCTGAACGCCAGCTCAGCGAGGTATGAAGGCAAGGAAAATCCTGGACTCCACGCCAAACATATCTCTCCAGTTTGCCTACTCACATCATCCTAGGCAATGCCAGCGCGCTCGTTTTCCGTCCTTTTCCGGGTTCGGCAGCATAGCAGCGGTTGGACTGGTTGTTTCATTCAACCCACAGACTGCTTGCAGCTTCCCTTTGGCGCACCGCTCCGAAAAGTGTGTCAAAACTTCAAATGCGCTGTGTCCAAACGCACGTTGTCAAAAGGCCGATGGAATCCAAGACATATTCGGTCGTAACTTCAAGCCGGAACTGCCCTCTCGGCCAAGGCCACTGTGCCATGTGCTTGCGCCTTGAAGTCTGCAAGCCGCCCCTCACAGTGCAGCGACAGGCTCCTGGCTGGCGCTCAAGTTTCTCGTGCGGCTGCCCAAGTTAGCCTGCAAGCCTGCCGCCCAGAAACGCAAGGAATGACTGCGCAGATTTATGCATGCGGGCAGCTCAACACAGCAAGCATGAGCCCACGTAGGCTCCCAATAATGGAAAAGCGTTCACTAGAGAGAACCCTTAAGCTTGCGTCCATCCAGGGTTGCCTCCCTGGGCCACGGCCAAGCTCATGAATGAACAAAACGCTAGAAATCACAAAGCAGAAGTCGATGTGTAACATGGGCGAGTGCCGATGTTTCATCTACAGAAATAAGGGTCGTGCATGTGTTGCAAATGGAACGATAAAATTGGTTGGCTTCCTGTTGGTGTTCCTTTTAAACACCCCCGAAAAAGGAACCAGGTGGAAAACAAGTCACAAGCTCACCGGCCCTTACCGGCCCTCACCGGCCCTCACCGGCCCTCACCGGCCCTCACCGGCCCTCACCGGCCCTCACCGGCCCTCACCGGCCCTCACCAGCCCCATCAGGCCCTGATCTAGGACATGCGACAGCGTTTCTTGCCCAAAAGCCTGGGGGGGGGCGGGTAGCGAAGCTTGCATGGGGCTTGACAAGCACATCAATGCCCCACCATTGGCGTTGCTGCCCAGAGGTACGCCTCTGCTCACAGGCTTTCTGTGTCTGCCAAACACAACAATTGCTCTTCCCCAGGTCCTGGCTCATTGTCCCGCCTTGCCTTGCGCGAGCCAGAGTTGAGGTTCCACGCAGGCGGAGGGTCGGAGAATGTTCACCAATGCCGCGCGAGCTTTTCTCTAGCCATCTCTTTCGGCCAGTGAGACGAGTCTCAAAACTCATGGGCCAGCTTGGAGAATGCAAAGGTAGCGCCTCACAGGGGTGAGCTGTGTTTCTGGTGATGTTGGTCCACCTCTCTCCGTGATTTTTTGTCCACTCGTGTTTTCTGTGAAGCAAGATAGCTCGCTAGCAACCAAGCAAGCAGGCAGGCAGGCAGGCAAGCAGGCAGGCAAGCAGGAAGGCAGCCAGCCAGCCAGCCAGCCAAGAAAGCAAGCGCCCTCACCCCCCCCATACCCCAAACACAAAACCACCTACCCTACACCCACCCCGAAACTATCTTAAACCTACCCTAAACCCACCCTAAGCCCACGCTAAACCAACCCCAAACCCACCTTAAACCCCCCCTGAACTCACCTAAACGCACCCCTAATCTACCCGTAACCTACCTTAAACACACCTTCAAACTACCTTGAACGTACCTTGAACCCCACAAACCCTAAACCCAACCTGGTAAACACCCTAAACCGCACCAAACCCGCCTGTATCCTCAACTTACCAACTCCAACTCCATCTGACCGACCCCACCCTAGACCCACCCTAAGCCCACCCCAATCCCACCCCAATCCCACCCCCAACGCCACCTTAAGCTATCCCAGAAACAACCCAAACCACCCCCCCTAAATCACCCTACACCCGCCCTGAACGAACCTAAACCAACTCTGAACACCCTAAACCCACCCTTAACGCGAAACCAACCCAACCAAAACTCTAAACCACCCTAAACCTACCCTTAGCCCACCACCTACCCTCCCCCAAACCCACACTAAACCTACCTTACTCCATCCCCCCAAACCCCAAATCAACCTCAAACCAACATCTACCCTCAACCCATCCTAAACCCAACCTTGAACCCCGCAAACCCTAAACCCAACCTGAATCCACCCTCACCGACGACTCCGAGGGAACAGTTGGCTGCTCGCAACTCCCAGGCTTCGCGAAAGTTCGCCTTGGTCTCGCGGCACGTCGTCGTCGGTGGGCGGACCGAAGATCAGCCACCGTGACAGGACTTCCGACAGCGACGCTTCGGGTACATCGGAACCACACCAAACCCACTACCTTAACCCTTCACTAAGCCAACCCTGCGCCAACCCAAACTCCGTCTAACCTAAACCGACCAGAACAAGCCAAAGCCTCACTCCAAGACCTTCAGATTCTCCTTCACTGCCAACCCTGCCTGCAACGCACAAGAGGTTGAAGACAAAGTGCGACGCCACAGCAATCAGGGCAAAGGAGAAGCCTGTTCAATTGCTGCGCTTTCGAAAGCTGATTGCCAGGCATTGGACCTGGACTGACTCTGACCTTTCCCGGCTTGCTATTTTTTTTTCTCTCTCTCTCTCTCGCTGGTTATCTTGCTTTCTCTCCATACCTCTTTCGGTTGAAGGGTCCAACTTTTCAAGCGCCCTACCTGAGGTTTTGTAGCTCAAGACTTCGGCCACCGGGTCCTGCAAATTCTCGGCCAGTGCTGCGAATGTGCATGCCAAATCACCCTCACATAACCCTTAAAATGGGTGTTGGAAGGGACCCCTAAGGTTGTTTGTGAGAATCCCTCGCCATGGTCCCTCCAAGCAACCCAGCGACAACGCATCCCAGTGTCCGCATCTCAGCGTCCTGCAACCATTCGAAGAAGATGGGGTGATTTGCCTGCTATCGAGCTGAGAATTAGATACTGCAAAGCTAGCATGCTTAAGAGGGGCCCTGGGTTTCAACGTGAACCTGAGCATAAGCTCTACCTGCCTTTCCTCTGGTCTTGCTGATTGACCGCTGCCACATGACTCTAGGAAGCATGCTAAGACCTCAAGATTAGTCCAGCCTTGATGTTGTAGGCGGCTTCGGCTTGCTGCACTGCAAGACGGAAGAAAGGCCTCACCCCCAATGAAACCAGTGGCAAGTTGCAAGCGACAGAATCTTAGAACGCTGACAATTTGCAAGCCTGATGGCACATCTCAACTTCAATATGACTCCTGGCCTCTGGTCGTCGCGCATCAAACGCAATCCAGCCCGGGCTTTCGGGTTGTTGTACTCGCCACAGCGGAATGCTGAAGTGGATGAACCTGTGATGCAGGCGGCACCCGCACAGCCAAATGTGCAAAAAAAGCAGCAGCACATTGTCAGCTCTGATTATTGAAATTGCCCGCGTCGTGTCAAAAAACCGCTCCTCACTCCATGGTCAATGCTTTGCAATCGGAGAACAACTACGAGCCACCACCAAGAAACACAACTCCTCGGGAATCATCCGGTCAGAACATGATGTGAATCACCAAGCATTTTTGAATTCGTGATATCTGCTGCGGCGGGGAGAAAAAGGAAAAACCGCACAACTCCGCGTATGACCGGGCTTGGGCCATCGGCTTGTTTAAGCATGCTTACAAGCCTTCTTTCCTTTGGCAGTCCCAGCGTTCGGTTGCTCAAGCATTCTTTTGCCATGCGCTTTGACGCGTTGCAGCCCAAGGCGCCGCAGCAATTCACTCCCACAGCCCAGAAGTCATAGGACGACAGCGGGGCCTCGCCGCTGATGATGGGCGCCACGCAGTACCTGAGCTGAGCGCCGAGCAACCTCTGTCCGCGTTTCCCAAAAGAAAATGCCGCAAATGGTGGCTTCGTTTTTAATTCCCATTACATCCCCCCCCCAAAACAAAAAGAAGAAGGGCCTGAATCCCTAGAAGAAACTGGAGCCCAACCACACCATCGGAGACGCCTGTCCAAATTCTTGAAGGACATGGACTTGCTGGTGTCCAACACGGTGCCATCCTCGAAGTAGACCCTGCCAGCATCCATGAGCTGCTGTCCTGCCAAGATTTAAAAAAAATCAATCCATGGTGACCAAGAGTTGATGCTACAACCACCTAGGGACGAATTGCGGCTTTTTGAGCAACGTGACTGGCAATCAAGGGAGGGGAAAACTCATGTGAAGGGTGGGACACTGTTCAACAGTGATACTGTGTGCAAAACAGTCTTTGTCCAGTCAGCATTTTCTGGTAGCACTCGGTATTTGTTTGTGTTTTCTTGCATTTGTCAGTAGTTGCACGACAAGTAACCCTGTTGAACAGGTCCCCTCCGCTTTCGTAAGAAAAGAAAGGGGCTCCCGGGTCAACTCAACTGCTCGAGTGCTGTGCTGCGCAGTGTGGGCAGCTCCTCTCTCTCGGGCAGGGCTGACATTTGGGTACGAGTTGATGCTCTCGATGTCCTTAGGCTAGGTCAATCCGAAATTTGAAACGAAGCCTTGAAGCTCAAGCAGCTGAGAGGCATAATATGGCTGCATGTTGTACCAGTAGTTCATGTCGCCTCAGGTGCCCCGGCGCCTCCGGGAACCGCAAGCGAGCACCCATCTATTCGAGGCACCGAAGAACGCAGCCAGCAAAGTGGCTGTAAGGTACCTAAGATGGCAGACCAAGTGACTGGCGACTGGGCGCTGAACCGTGAGCAAGCGGCGTGAAAATTTCTCAGGTTTGTCAAGTGGCTGAGAAGGGAACAGCACGCAAATAGTTGCTGATTTGAAATTGGGGGTGTCTCGAGCTGCTCTTGGGGGCAGCGAGAGTCGACCCTCAACTTTCCCACCAGCCAGCTGAAGCAACAAACCATGCATCATTCAGGTTTCCCTCAGTGGGCCATGGCGATTTCGCCCCTCCCTCCGACATGGAAGTGGACAGGGTTTCAGAATTTTGGCTTCCGGCCGGTGAGTTTCCATGTTTGCTGGAGGAAGGGCAGCCCTCAACTACAGACTCGCCGAGCAATTCCCTGCGAACTTCTAGAGTCGCGCGGCGCCAGAGCCGCGAAGGTGCACCACGTGGGATCCTGCTCGCGCATCCGGGTCCTGGCAAACCGAGCCAAGAAAAAAAATCCCACCCCACCTTTGTCCTCCATTACTATGTTTGGGTTGATGGGCCGACAACACTGGCTGGCAATGGGCCCAACCAAAAGGCAGGTATTGTCCAGCATCCACCAACAACACTTCTGGTTCAACACCTGTTGTGCCTGTCTTGTTTGACTTACTAAACTTTGCCAGACAATTTTGCCCATCCACTGACCAGCCGCGCCAGAATCAGAAATTTGACGTCTCTGCCTTTCCGCTTCCCTTGGCAGCAGCCTGAAAGAGGGAATCCTCCGAAAAGGGAATCCTCGAAAACATGGCTTTCCTGTTTTTGGCTTGAGATGGGAACCAACTTTAAAAACCACACACCCACCTCCCCCTCGTCGACAAATGCGTGGGCCTGTGTGCGAGAAAGGCGGCCACTGCGGCGCATAGCAGGCCCACCGCCACCGAGGACCAGGCGAAGGAGGAGCTCCAGTAATGCAGCTGGAAGGACCTTCGCAAACATCGTCAGGTGCGTGGCCCGGACACCCCCCCTCCCACAAACAATGAGGGGTGAGGGGGTCGGGGACTGTCCTGCCAGGATACCCCATACAGTCTAGCTGGCGTGCCGTTACTTGGGGCAGAAAGATGCAGTAAGTGCAAAGAAGGGGCAGGGCGGCAAAGATACCTCGGCATGTCATGCTGCCGGCCCATTCACACCGTGCGAACAGGCTACGCAAGTTCATTGTGTTGGGCTCGGCTGAGGCAAAACCAAGACTTCCGCCAGGCCGCCACAGAAAAGAGCCCATGGCGCCACCAGGTTGATGAAGATGGCGACCAGGTTAAGTCTCTTTCCTGCTTGCTTCCCAAATAGGAATTGTTGCAAAGCTCACTGCATTTGGCACGTGGGAACCACCAAGCGGAAGCATCATGGAGGCCTCCCCATCTCTCTCTTTACAAGCTGTGCATCAGCTTGGATCACGGCGCATCATGCCATGGCAAACAAATCTGAGAATGGCCAAGCTTCGTCTGCCAGGTGTGAAGCTGCTGTGCTCCTTCCTCACATAGGCGCCCTCCACGGTTCCATATGGCCGATCCTGAAGCCCCCCACAATGCAAACAAAAGCACTGCAAAAAGGCAGGAGACAAAGCAAGGCAGCGTGCTTTTCCTGAGCTGGTGCAGCCCCAGCGGCCATGACTGGCCACTTCGTTGACGGAATCCAGCTTGAGCCGGATGCTCAACCAAACCAATGTGCACCCAAGAAGGCACCCAGAAACACGTGATTCTGCAAGCATTCGCGGACGTTGCACGGAAGTGCTTCAGGGGCCCCGCTGACCTGCACCCTTACCAAAGTCTGCAGTCACCAGCTGAATGCTCGCGGGCCTTGACCACCGATCCTCTCGACAACCACCTGGCAAAGGAGCGCCAGCTTTCACTCGCACACATTGGTGCAAAGTTGTTGGTTTCAGTTGCTTGGTTTTGGGGGCACGCTTCAAACCTGCAAGCACTGACAAAGTCAAGAAACCTATGGTGCACGTGTGGACTCCCGCTTCAAAAAGGAGATGCTTTAGAACAATGTCCTCAGCGCCAATGCACTTCTTGGCTTGAATATGGGATTGCTTCAAAATGGGTAATTGATTACCTCTCCTTTGGCTTCGCTTCAAACCAACCCCAAAATGGGTACCCTCAAAACAAGACACACCCATATTCTGGAATGATGCAAGTGGAAGAGGCAAAGGCATCTGAAACCGCCTTGCAAAGCCTGGCATTGATCATCACCAAGTATTGATCATAGCCCCGCACAACCCTGATTCAGGTTCTCCCCCAAACTGCGCCCGCTTTGTCATTTGGAATCCGAAAGCTGTCAAGCTCTCATTTTACCCTGGCGCTGGGCCAACCTATTGTTGAAACATGTTCCCGGGGACCCCTGCATTGCGGTTTTCATCAACTACCAGGAGGGGCAACTCCCAAATAGAGTCAGCATTTTACTGGGTCCTGTACTACCGCACGGGGTGAGACTCCATGGGGGTGGGGGGGAGGGGTATTGGACGAGACTGCCAACTCGCGGTTGGCCGCGTTGCCGCACGGGACGCAGTCGGTGGGCAAACGTAGGGTTCCCAACGAACATGTTTAAGCCATGTGTGACTACCCGTGTTCCAATCATCTCCTTTGTCTCCCTTTGTTTTGTTCAAAGGGGACCACAGCTTAAACACATTTTGCTCCACCCAACTTCGCACAAGGTCGCGCACCTTGCTGATCAACTCCCCGTTGAGGATCCGCACAGCCGTTTTGGCCTCGGGATGGCGCAAACGATTATCGCCCTCGAAGGGGCGAATGTGTCATGACTGCGCTTGTTGGGCCAGTTCCAAGAGGTCGGGGTGGATGATGTGAACATGTCGGTCCTGTATGGTCCTGCAGGCCCCTAAATGGCACATTCCAACGTCCAGCCTGCACCCGCTGCACTTTTTTCCGGCGCCATTAGCCAGAAACGAAAGTTGGAAGGGCCACGGCCCCCATTCGCACCTGGTCGCACCTGGTTGAATGCGTTTCTTTGGCGATCCGGCTCAGGAGGTGAGTAACACCTTTCGGCCGAACACCATGTCCGCATCTAGGCGTGAGAATGCTTCAACTGGGCAAGGACAACAAAAGACATGGGTCATAATCCAAACCCGGCATCAAAATGGTCTACCCAGAACCATGTAAAAGAATTGAGAAGGCGGCCGCAGCTACTTATGGTGGGGATTGTCCCTTACTGACCTTCATCTACCCGGGTTTTGGTTGTTGCTCACACGGACTTCAGGTTAAAGGATGAAACAAGCAGCAAGGCTACATTCAACGGTTGCCTTCGCAGCCATCTGGCCGAAGCGAACTCAGAACTCCACCGGGGCCAAGACCTCGGCTTGTCTCAGAACCTACGACCCCGTGTCCTGCACGCCATGAATCCACAGAAACGGTCTGGTTGCCACATCTTGGGTGCAAACATGGCAGGGGTGTCCAAAGACTGGCAAATGTGCAGTGAAACGGCGTGCCTTTCTCTGGCCACCGGTATGATCTTGCACAACCATGCCCAGCGGCTACCGGCACGCAGAATGTGAAGCAGAGCGAGCGCCAGTCTCTGGCAGGACCTGCCACGGCAACTCTAGGGGTCCGCCGCGCACCTTCCCAACTAGGCACGAAATGCGAAATGCAAAACCAAGGGCCTGGAGAGACTGAAACCCGCGCCCGTTCGAACGCCGGAGCGCCCCTCGGCCTGCGAGACCATGGCGCCCGGCGGGAGGTCCAGGGTGTTGTTCCGTGACATGGACTTGAAGCGCCGACGGTTGACAGAGCTGCCAGGCGTGTTCCTGAGGGACACCCAGCCACAAGCCCGTGCCAATTAGGGAAATATCGTGCTTGGGACTCAAAGGGGGAACTGCGCGTTGAGGAGTCCCTCACTTGGCGACACTGCCAAGCGCTCACTGCGGATTTTCAATGGCGTAAGCCGGCGTTGGCGCCCTGTATCCCAGCACAGCTGCTCTGCCAACCCACACAGAAACCATCCTGCCGTGCACCTTTAGCTCTGAGTGGTTTGTTTAGAGCACCCAAAGGCAGAAGCCTCAGGAACCCACCACTTCCTGGCCGCTTGGACAAGGCTCCGCACAACAAACTGCCCGACGGAGATAGAGGCTGATGGGTCCGCTTGCCCATTGAGGCTTCCGAAGTTCTTTGGGCCTCGCTGGGCTCCGCTCGAAAGAAATCCCACGAAGCGGCGAACAACAACCCTTCTTGCTGAGCTTGACGATGCCTGGGGAGTCAACAAAATCAAAACGATGGTCCAAGCAGATTGATTGACATGGTGGGAAATACACGAGGTTGACAATGAACAGGACATACACCACAAGCACAGCTTGCCAAGGTCGAGACCCTCTTCGTTCGTCATGGTGTGCCACTGCGCTTCGCTGGAGAGAGGGGGGAAAAGCATCTCCTGCAGCACACGGAGTTCTATTGCAAAATTGTTTAGCTGCAATGGCTTCAAATAAACCAATGCAAATCATCCAGCACAAAGGCACAACAGCACACAATGGGCAAAGCGATAACTTGCGAAAACAGTCCAGGTTCTTCTTCAAAGCTACTCGCTTCTGCGGATCGCGCCACCTGGATGTCAGCTAGCTCGCTGCACATGCGCAATGTGTAAGACCTGTGGAGGGTACAAAAGACTTGATGCTTCCAAGGGCACACCAGATCAAGGGGCTGCTGTTTACAACATACTTCGACAAGTCGTAGTTGCCAAATGGCCCATGGTAATTTATTTCGCGCAAGATCTTCAAAAGTTTGCCAGGCGGCTGGTAGTGCCTGCTTGTCAGCAAGTGGCACATGAAACGGCCCATGTCTTCCACATCCTCCGCTGTAAATTCCTGCCAGTTCGAAACGGGAACAGGCTCCAAAATGAGCACATCCAGCCTCCTTTGACCACGGGGGAGGGGCTGGCAGAGGAATCGGGGTCCCCTTGGTTGTGCATTGCACGCCCAAGACCGTGAGATCTGAGAGGCGTCAAGCTCCAATTGGGCCACGCTGCAATGCTCATGATTCGGGCTCGCTTGCCTAGACTGCGAGCATGCGAGCCAGAGAAAGACTCCATCGTATCAAGTGAATCAAGTGTGCATCGTTAAAGGCAGTGTTCTCTTTTCCTTCTTCTTCTCCTTCTCTTTCTCCTTCTCCTTCTTCTTCTTCTTCTTCTTCTTCTTCTTCTTCTGTGGGGGGGGGTCATGCTGCGGGCTGCGATTCTATCTGACCTGCCCATCGTGAGCCAAGCTTCTGAAGGACGATCTCAGACTGTAAAGAACCGCGCTGCCAATCAGAGCTGCCACCGCAGCACAGGCATAGGGGTCGCGTGGGTCCCTGCTAAACCTTGAGGCAAGCAAAAACACAAGTGGGCGTGGGATGAGGCATCCACAAAAATAGTAACTCGTTGGGCATCACTTTGCTGCGAAACACAGTAGAAAGACCTGGAAAGTGCAGCATCAAAAAAACTGCGTAGGCATCAAAAACTAAATTGTCGGGCATGGCTGGGGCTGCTTTGTTTAGAGTTTGTTAGTGCGGGTTGGGTGGTTGAGGTGGCTTTTGGGCAGGTTTGGGGTGGGTTTACGGTGGGTTTGTGGCGGGTTTCAGATGGGCCACCCCAAACCCACCATACATCGACCCTAAACACACGCTCCCCGAACCGACCCTAAGCCAAACAACCCAACCCACTGTGAACCCACCCCCAGCAAGCTCTCACAGTTTCCGGGCGGCTTACTGCGTTTTGCAGCAGAATGGTGCCCCATGAGTTAGTTGATTGTTGATGCCTAATCCGCGCTTCTTTATTTTTAGAGATAAGTTCTCCGCACGTGCGCACCCGAGTGGAGCTAGCACAAACAACCACATCAGGCAATCCTTCCTGCCCTCCTTACTCGCTTCCTCACTTCTTTTCTTCCTTGAATCCTTCCTTCCTCCCTGCCTTCCCTCCTTCCTTCCTTCCTTTGCAGAAAATTGTTTCTTTTGTTTCTGACGCTTAATAGGCTGTTTTGATACCTATCCCGTGGGTGTAGCTCAGGACCCACGGAGGCTGCAAACCCCGCAGATGTTTCTTCCTTTCCCCACAATAATTAATCGTGCACTCGCCACAGCCACATGTCCCACACAGGTCACATCCGCATGCTGAGGGAACGGCAGGAAGCTCAACACCACAGGGCCAAAGACCCGGCCCAAGGCTTGCGCCATCTGCTGCATTGACATGACCTGTCGATGGGGTCAATCTGATCGAGCCAGAATTTGGCCGCAAGCGGATGACTTGATTCATGTAGGTGTCTGCGTGTCTGCGTGTCTGCGTGTCTGCGTGTCTGCGTGTCTGCGTGTCTGCGTGTCTGCGTGTCTGCGTGTCTGCGTGTCTGCGTGTCTGCGTGTCTGCGTGTCTGCGTGTCTGCGTGTCTGCGTGTCTGCGTGTCTGCGTGTCTGCGTGTCTGCGTGTCTGCGTGTCTGCGTGTCTGCGTGTCTGCGTGTCTGCGTGTCTGCGTGTCTGCGTGTCTGCGTGGTCTGCGTGTCTGCGGGTCTGCGGGTCTGCGGGTCTGCGGGTCTGCGGGTCTGCGGGTCTGCGGGTCTGCGGGTCTGCGGGTCTGCGGGTCTGCGGGTCTGCGGGTCTGCGGGTCTGCGGGTCTGCGGGTCTGCGGGTCTGCGGGTCTGCGTGTCTGCGTGTCTGCG